TAACTATTTGATTTATTAGAACTTTTTGTTTTCACTATGAATTTAAAACAATATTTTTATCTATATATAAAAACACTGTTTGGTTATGAGTCATATATAACTTTTTGTTTCTGCTAACTTTTTTAATATGTAATGAAAAAAATTTGATTCCAAGTCAAAAAAATAATCCTAAACTGAACCGATAAAAAATGCATTCTTGATTTTTTTCGATATAGCACTTTTGATTCTTAAAAATATTTTCTACCAGGCAGTGAGTCAAAAGAATCAAACAAGTTGTACATCAAAAATGATTTAGGCCACTGCCTGTGTTTTTCAAAGTAGAAAATACTTAGCAAAAAATCATTTAAATAAGCACTTTAAAATTGTATATTTAAAACCTTAGAAATAAGAAATAAATGTCCATAACACTGCTAGAAGTCAAGCCAAATAAATGAGCAATCACATTATGTTCTAAACCATACTAATGAATATAAATCCTAGCCCTAGTTAGGATTAATATTATTAATACCATTACCTCACTCAGCTGTTAATGTTTAAACTAATTTTTTTTTCAGCTGGTGTTTTTAGTGTTAAATTAATTTCATCAGATGCCAGTGAACGTTGTGGTTTAAAAGAACAGCCTTATACATTAGTCATTACTCCTGTTGCTTTACAATTACGAGAATCTGATGAAAATGATACACTACTTCTGACGTGGCCATATAGATTTATTCGAAGATATGGGTATAGAGCTGGTAGATTTACATTTGAAGCTGGTCGCAAATGTACCAGTGGTGAAGGTGTGTTTCATTTGGAACATTCAAATCAACAGGAAATATTTCGATGCATCTCATCAAAAATGAAAAGTATGAAAAAACTATTGAATGGCGGAGGTGATGCAACATCAATCATGTGCGGTGATAATCAGTTTCGAGCTGCTTTGTCTATGATGGCACGTTCTCGAAGCCCCTTACCACCATCGCCCACTAGCACTACTCCATTAATTTTGGATAATGACTTTAATAGCTTTTCTTGTTCAATCAAACCTCTTATGCCTTTACCAACATTATTAGTACCTCCAACTACGTCTCCACCACCACCACCGCTAAAACCAAAACCAAAGGCAATTTTTTCTAAGAAGCTACCTACTCCTTTCATGAACGACCCTTACAACGAAACTAAAGAAACAGAATCACCAGATGCAGCATATGAAGATGTCCTAGTAAGAAATGATGCCTGGAGAACTATGGGTCTCAATGATTCAAATCATTGCGAAAAACCTTATGCTAGTAATAATGTAATACCTGATGATGGTGCTGAACATTATGACCATCTACAACATTTTGGTTTCATATCTAAAACAGCACCTGGGTATAGACAAATTCACCCTATTGCTTTAACCACAAAGCACAAATCTATCATAAAAGCAGACACCGTAATGATGCCTGCTCGGAAAGCTGACGATTCACATTACGGTTATGGTACTATAAATAAAAAAAACTCAACCGAAGAAAATCGCTCAAATAACGAGTCATTGGACTCAGTAACACACAATGAATTGCAATATGCTATGGTCTTCAAGCCTAATAAGGTCTAGTCTTATTTATTATTATTATTAATTTTTTTTTATTTATGAAAATCAACCTTTAAATTTATATATTTTATATCATATTTTCCTATATCTAAACAAAATGTCGTAAATTTATTAAATAGATTCTGACCTAGGAGAAATTTGTTTTGTTTCATATTTTATCATTGACTACATCACATTTAGACATTTAGTTAAGAATTGTTAGTATCTTTATTTTACAATGTTTAATTTTAGAGTTTCTTATATTTGTTTTATTTAATTTATAACAATTTTAATATCATCATAATATCACATGTGCAATAATCACAATGGAAAAGATTTATAAATATTTATTTTATTAATTTGTTATAATTATGTTCTAATATTCAAAAATATATATAAATTATTCTGTATAGTTGAAATAATATTACAAATCAAACTATATTAGGGTCAAGTGGGGTAATTGGAAACAATATTAATTTATCATCGATGGGCTATGATAACATATATCCAACCTAATAAAATGATAAAATTTCCATTTGCCCCTTAACCACCGAGTAATATTGGGCAAATGGAAATATGTGTACTGCATACATTAAAATAATATAAAACAATAAATTCTAATGACAAATATTTTCAAATGCCCCAGAGGTCATTCCTGCAGGTTACAGATAACATACTAACAAATTTGCTTGTTTTCATTTACCCCAAAAAAATTTTATCATATTTTGATGGGGCAAATGTAAATTAAAATTTTTTTGAAAAATAGAATGAACATTAAACTTTTAGTTGTGACATTGTCATTACTGAAAGTGTTCTAATTAGATCATAATGCAGAAATCGCCAACAGTTGTTATGGCAACTAATAATAATATAAAATATGGGAATTTAAAAATATTGATACCAATATTACCACACTTGACCCTATGTATAATTATTTTTAAAATAATAATATGCAACAATATCATTGTAAATTAAATTAAATAGTTCAAATTATATGTTGTACAAATATTTTTATATAATATCAATCAAATAAAAATCTTTAAAAAGAATGTTATTCAGTTTCAACTTTTATGACATTGCACATGGTGCTCATTATAAACTATTTTCACTGTATCTTGAAAAGTATTAGAACTTTTGCCATATATTATACATGTAAGTGTATTTAATTAACAATTATTTTACTCTATGTATAACAAATGAAAAACCAAAATGTATTACCAATTATTGAGTTATGTATAAACATACAAATTATATATTAAATATTTATTTGTGTATTATATAAGTATAGAAATTATTGAGTAGGTATTGTTTAGGATTAAAATATATTTATGACATCCTCTTAATCGGTGGCGTGGCAAAGAGGATAAACGAGAGAATCGTCTAAATCGCTCATAAAAAACTCATGTGGCTTTACACTATACCAAAATAAAATATTATGAGCTATTTTGTATAACATTTTGAAACCAGAAGTGTTAAAATCAAAATCTTTGTACATTTTAAACTACCAAACAATTTGAAAATTTTAGTGGTTTTAATGAATTTTGTCAACATTTGAACTTAAGTTGCTTATAAAAAAAAATTGTGTCTATCTACCTTTAATATTTTTGAACTGTTATTATAACAATTTATGAGGAACCTTGTATTACATTTTCAGGCTTTTGAGAACCCAGCAAAAATTTTTAATATATAATAATTACATATTAATTTCTTTTAGATAGGCAACCAAAACGACAAAGGGATTGGATACAGATGTTTATTTTTATTTTTTTATTTTGTATGACATGGATATCAAACACATAATACAGTAATACACTATTCCATTTTTAACTGTAACAAATAATAGAATAATAAAATAAAATAAAACAAATTAAAAACAGAACATATCGTTCTGGTAATACACATAATATAGTTGTTAGTATAAACACAAATAAAATTAATTAACATATAATAAAATATTGTTATAAATAATAATTAATAATAAGTCAAGTTCTTTTAGCCATTCTATCACATCTTTGGTAACTTTGTGGATTCCTTCAGTCCCTTGTTCAAATAACTTCCTGGGACACGATTCCACGATGTGGTGACCACGGGCGGTCGACAAGTGGTCAAAGGAGGTCGCGGCAGAGTTCTACGAGGCAGGCATAAAAAAATTAATCTGCCATCTCACAACCCCTGCATTGAAAGAAATGGTGACTATGTAGAAAGATAGCACTCAAATATATTAATGTAACCATGTTATTTTTTTTTTTAGTAAATTTTTTTGAAGCCTACAAAAATTGAGTACACTAAACACTTACTTTCTGGACACGCCTCGTATTTACTAAGAATTTATTTTCAAAAGATTTGTTTCTGTAGATTTTTTTTTAGTTATTATGTGGAGTCATTAGTAAAGCAGAGGATTTATAGCTCTAAACAAACAAAAGTGCAATGTGAAAATACTTATGCGTTTTTAGAAACCTTAAAATAACCTCTAAATTCATACTATGGAATTCAATTTTTTAAAATTTTTTTTTTCAAAACAAATATTCAAATGCTGTAAGTCCTCTGTTCTAGTCATCAGTTTAGGATAGTAATATAATTATTTACCACATTTTCTATATCAATAAATAATATTATTTTTTTTTATTATAATATTTCATGTCAATTTAAACAATTAATACATTAACAACTTCAATAATATTTAATATCATTCACAACTTCTTGTATGTACAATTAAGATAAATTTTTGTTTCATTATAACTTATTCAGATTTGCACCTCTATCCGAAATTAATATGCCAAACAACAATAATTTAATATGCATAAACATCAAATTTAAACTTAAAATATAATATACTATCTTTTGTTTAAATTTTATTCTTTTACATAAAATACACCAGGAACATTATCAATCATAACAGCCATTTATAAATTAATATTACTGCTAAAAAAAAAAAGTACAAACAAGAGTATGTTTATATTTGTCTTTATTTTCTATTTTGCTACTAACTATTAAGACAGTTAGTTTAAAAATATGTTCGTTACTCATAAAAATCCTATAAAATATTCAACAAATAGGAAATAAATTGTAATAATTATAACAGCTTCACAAATAACGAGGTAAACCGACAGGAAATGTATATTATTTATTATAAACATGTTCGGTGTAATGATGCTTAAAATGAAATAAAATAATAATAATAATTTTTAATTAATATTTATTTATCGTTTATAACATAATAATATAAGGTAACTCTAATAGAAGTATTGAAAAATAAAAAAAAACTATTAAAATAATATTAGGCAAAAAACACTTATACATTAATAAAATAAAGTATTCGATAGTATTTTGTTCATTAACATGAATATAGTCTTATTAAATCTAAGAGGTTTATACTTTAGTAGAAAACCACAGAAGTCTTGTAGAGTAAAGTATAGTGATTTTATTAAGGCTAATTTTTGTTCGATAATCATTTATGTAAAGGGCTGAATGTAAGTTGTGTGAAATCACGTACTGCATCTTTGAAAGATTCTGGAATTTCAGACTGATCATTTAGACGGCTGATTTTGAGCCTAAAATAAATATATATAATTGTTTTAATACAGATTATTAATATTAGATAAAATAATTACATTTTTACAATAATTTAAGACCAGAGGTATAAACAATCCTTAAATAACAATGGAACAATATACGGTTAAGATATAGGTAAATTAGTCAAAATTATTTGCCTTATAAAAAAAAAAAAAAAGATTAGATATACTCAAGGTACATGTAAGGATTACACCAGGCGGCAAAATATCTAAAGCCAGACCTAATTATACTGTTTTTCCAAGTGAAAACAAGAATTTATTTCATGGTTCTTTGACCAAAAATGAAAAAGTTTTGAAAACGATGTATACCAAAACCACATAACTAGTCTTAGGTAATAAAAATACATACAATGTTACTATATTTGCATTGGCCTGTTTTGTGGCTACTTCTAGCGGTTCAATATTATCATGATCCCTAAGATATTGATTCGCTTTGTGTTTCAGAAGAAGACATACTTGTGCTGTATGGCCTAAAAAAGAAATCAATTTATAAATAACAAATAACATTTAATTATACAATATAATAATTTAATATAATATTATTTATTTATTTAATTATAAAATATACAAACAACTAGCTGTCCGACATTTCCCGGGCCGAAGATTTGTATTATTAATAAGTATATTTGTAAAAAATGTATAATATTCCATATTGTTTTTAAATTATAATACTAATATAATAAGTAACCAATGGCAAAAAACAAAAAAAATGTATTTTTTCCTAAGCAAAAATAATAATATATTCATGAGCTACCCTCAGCTACCTATAGGAGTTGAAAAACTAAACTATAAATACAATCGTAGTCTAAAGAAATTTATTAATATAACTTTTATTGAAAACGGTCCAGTAGTTTTTGAGTCTATTAACTTCAGATGAACCAACATCCGTTTTTAGCTGTATAACCTGACTTTGCTCATAAAAAAATATAAAATATTGTGCTATATAGGTGTATCTTGGTTTTGATGTACCTCAGATCACAGACAAATTTGAGTCAATGTACCTAGCTTTATGATTAATCAGACCGTGATGGACAATTCCCCTGTGGCATATTGAATATATCACTTTTTATAAATCAAACTACTCTTTACACTTTTCTGATATCTTTAAGAACAACTTGAAATTTTCACAAAATCAATGGAGTAGTTTTTGAGTACCTATATAAGCTACAATATACATTCAACTCTCATATTTGTTTTAAGATATCATTTCTTTATTCAAAACGATAAACGCGACAATTTTATGCATTCTTTTACCTTATTTGCCCAAGTAACTAATGACAACCTTTTAAATAAAAAAAAAAATACTAATTTTCACTAATTATTTCTCTTATTACTATTATAATCTGTAAGCTGTAACCAATAGCAACCATTTATAAACAAAATCTTTAAATCTGTAAATATTAAAATCCTTTTTTGATCGCCTCTTTGGATTGGACCTAGCAGGCTCACTTGTGAATCTAAACCATTCAGCGACCCACTCAAATATACGCAACAAATGTCATAAAAATCGGTCTAGGCATTTAGGAGGTTTACAGTAGAATTATTATTAGCAAGATAGGTACAATATTTATAATAATTAGTATCAGATACTTAAAATACAAAAAATAAGTACATATTATTATAGTTGAGGAGTTAACAACTTATGAGAATGAAAGCATACATTCTGTAGTTTGTTGCAAGAAGCAACTTGTGAAATTTGAATTAGTACATAATTTGTTAGTGATAGTTTATTAAAAATACTTGGATCAATGAACAAAAATAAGACAGTGTGGAGACTTATATACTTTAGGATTAGGCGTAATAATATTTTTAATAGCAAGGTATTTGAAATTCACCTGGGACATTTTGAAGTCTGACTATGCTTTAGTTTGAATCATTATATTAGAATTGAATTTGATATTATCAATATGGATACAGTTATTCAACTTTTTCTTAACAATGTGCGTGTATTTAACATTAATATGTTTAGTGGATCTATATTTTTATATTTTTATTCATATTGCTCCATGGCCCATTTAATGTTTCAAAGTTACTGTAGTTGTTACAAAGTGTATTAACATTTTTAGAGGTCATCAATGATGAATTCAGACTTATAATAATTTGCCTAGTTAAATATTTTAATCATGTTAGATAAGGTATTCAAGTTATGTTGCCAATTAATAAGATATAAAATGATATGCGGGAGAAAGCTACAGATAAAAGTTAAAAATGTCATGGTTATAATTCATCCATTCTAACTAATAGATATGAAAATTAAATATAGTATTATTAATTAAAATATGACAATTATTTATAAAAAAAAATATGCAAACTAAAAATATTAGAACATAATATTATGTAATAACAAAATTTACCCAATTGTGTAGCAAAAAACAGAGGAGTCTGGCCATGATCGTCTTGAATGTTTATGTCTGACGCATTAAGTATCAAATACTCACAAGCCATCACAGAACCCTGCAATAATAACACTTATTTATAATATAAATTATAATTTAAAGAAAACACAGAAAATACATTGATGTATCATGTAAGTTAATATACAGAATGAACCTTACACTGAGTATAGCTTGAAAGAGTGAAGTCCGTCCATTGTCATTTGGATTTTTCCAATTTTTGTCTGCTCCTGTTGCTATTGCATGACACATCACTGGTAGGTTATGTGCTGCTGCAGCTCGGTAAAGCAGCATATCTGGCCTCAATGTAGATATATCTTCTTCTACAACTAAAAAAATTAATTAACATTATTTAAAGATTAAAATAGTTTTTTTTAATATTCTAACCATCTGTTCCATCATCACTAATTGTAGAATCATCATCGCTACTTATAACATCTAAAGATATGCTTCTGGTATTACCACCAATTACCATGACATTATCTTTTTTCTCATTTTTTACTGTAGATTGAGTTCCTCGTCGTCTTACTTTGCGAACACTCCATTTTCTTGTATTATATTCTTCCAAAACCAATTCATTATTAGGTATTGGTTTCACAAATAAGCGATCAACATACTTATTTCGAATCCATTGTTCACGAATTGGGCTTAAATATATAATATTAACAACAATATAGGTAGTTAATCAAACTTTGATACACTAATAATTAAAGACCTACCCGAGACATTTTGCTGAAGCACGTATAACTGTATCAGGAACATTATATTCATACACCTCATTGACAACAGAATTTCCAACTTCAGCCAAAACTTTCAAAATCTCTGGCTCCCAGTCATCAAGTGTTAATGAACGGACCTTACTATAATGAACGCCAAGACTACGATGTACACCAGAACATTCTAAAATAAAAAATTGTAGTAATTGTTTAAGGAATGAAAATGGTGAAACTTATTTGCTGATATAATGATAGTTGATGGCAGTAAATATATATTTTATATTCTTTAAAATAATATTTTAATACTAACCAATACATAGTGTAATACCCAAATTTATGCTGGCCCAATCTGGATTTAGTGCTTTGCAATCGCAACATTTTTCATTACCCGGAATTTTAACAAGCACATCCAACGTTCTAAGTTAATTTAATTAAATAAGTATAAATACAACTTGTAATAATAAAATATTTTTTAGTTAAAAATAAAAATTACTTAGACTTTTTAATTTTTGGAACTTGAAACTGCTCATTCAAATCATTAGAATCATCATCATTATGATTATTTTTTTGTTGAGGTCTATTACGTATTGCATCTTCAATACCTTGTTGAAGAGCTTCTATCCATGATTTGTATACATACTCAGAATCAGCTTGTAAAATGTGACTTCTGCAAAAAAATAAAAAAGCCATTTATTTAGTTAGTTGAGAGAAACATCTTATAATAGCACTTACTTAGTTGGAGATAAGACTTCAAAACAAAACCTTCGTTCTGCATCACATGCTGGTTTCACAGAACAAATTCTTAAATCATCTTCCATTACAGTAAATAAATTTTCTCCTAAAAAATTTTATATTGAGGATTTTTTAATGATAAGATTCTGTGTTAAGACAATACATAATTATCATTGTTATTCTAGCAGACATATTATAACATATACATTCAATACTACTAAACTTTCCAAGACAAAAACTACTTTTAATAAAATTACAAACCATTTCGTTTACGGTAAGCCAACTGATTATTCTTTAAGTAAAACCATCGTCTATTCCATGTTTTGAAAGCATTACTTGTTCGCTTGTACAGGTAGCCTTCAATGCGTGTCACATCCTTGTCCTTGCTACCATTTTCACAATCACCATTCACCATAACCGTATCATGGCTATAATTTAAAAATAATATTTATTACTATTTAGACTAATGAATCATTAATAATAATTATTTAATACACATCAATTCTGAACCTGTCGACCAATTTGTGATGTTCACTTAGTTGATTTTCCATTTCAGCTGCTTCGGTAGTCATAACAATTACCTCTTTGTTCAGACTCTGTATAAAATCTTGTAAGTCTTCAGTTAGTGTAAAACCTTGATGAAAATATGTTCCCCACGCTTGAATATAAGATAATAGCTAAAACAAGAAAACACAAGGATGGTCAGATTTTATATGTTAAATTTTAATTATTCTAGAATAGGGATGTTGAACATTTTTATGGTCACATGTTAAAATTTCATTTTTAATGTTAAAAAAATTTACCGTAACCATTATACTATATTAAATATAGCATAAAAAATTTTGTACAGATAGGTACTTATAAAAAACAATTTTTCTAGACCAATCAAGGACTTCAAAATGTTCAAATATTAAATATTAAAGAGGACGCTACATCTTTGTCTTACAAGTGCGTAACATATCAAATTTACGCTCAGGAGAATGCATCACGTTTAACTCCGTTAGCTTAAAAATTAGAGTGATCGACATATTATGAAACATGATGATAAGTACATTAAATGTTTTTGTATGTGTTTTTTTTTTACAATAGTTCAAGTTTTTAGTAAGTTATGCATAAATAATATAGCTTAAATTAAAAATGGTCATAACTAGGGCCCGGAATTGTATGCACTAAAAACGTACGAAATATGCATGCATTTATGTACTGATTATCATTCAAATATGCACTTAACATATTATGCAATAATATGCAAACAACAAAAATGCATTTTGATTAATAATTAAATTAAGATCAGCGGAAATACATGTAACTAGTCCGAATAATTGTATTATGTTAGGCAATTTTTATCCATATTGTTTTATTTGAAACAAAATGATGGATTTTGGCAATGATTTGTTCGTATACATAGAATAAATAGTTTTTCCTTAATGTTGACTTGCCCGGAATAGTCCGGTAAAACTAACGAAAAATAGTAAAACAAATGGGTACAAAACTATTCTATATATAGTTCTAACATTTTCAACAATTTTATAAACATATTAAATCAGATAAGATTGACGTCCTTTTTGTCGGTGAAAAAGGAATAAAATGGAATCTGAAGAAGAAGCTGTAAGTCAACAAACTATTAACTCAGGGCAAGAGACAGACGTCCGATTGGATAATATGGTATGTCATAAAAAAAATAAAATTAAAATAATACATTTACAATAGTTTATGATAAATATATCATCCGTGTCTTTTAAGTAGCATAAATGTAATTTACTTGGTTTAAATAAAAAATTAATTAATTATTTATAGGATGACGTTACTGATGTATATCGACCAACAGTTGACACAGAAAAAAATATAGTTCATTTAAATATTGCTACTGTAGGTAAATTATATCGTGTAGCTAACCTAATTAGCTTTAATATTGTAATTATAAAAATAATTAAATGTTTTAAGGAGAGGAAATATTCTAAAGAAAATTTGGAAAAACAGGCAAAAAGAATGAAAGATTTAAAAAATTCAAATACTAAATTTGCGGTTGCATATCCAAATTCCCGATGTTGATAGAGGAAAGGGTGATCCTCGTTCAATTATTGCAGTTGTTTAAAAATTAACTGACGATGGGTTTTATCAACTGGGATGATGGAAAGATAAATTTAAATAAGACAAGTTATTTTTAATTTTAATTTTTTACTTATTTGTTACCTACCTACACATTATAATTACAGGAGTGTTAAAACAACTATACTCTTGATCCTAGTTCACAGTATGTTCAGAAAATTTGTTAGCTGTAGAAGCTGTTCCAAATGAAAGTATTACATTAAGATCTGCGGCAATTGCGCAGTCACTGTGTACTGATCATGGTTTTTTAAGTGCACTTGTACTAAAAAATGTGACACAAAGCAATGTGTTTTTAGGAAAAAAGGAGGTGTGCAACTCTAAATGTCATAATAGCCTTACATGTACAAATGAATAAATAATATAACTATAATTAATTCAGTAAAATATAATATATTAATATATATTTTAAATTTTAATGTATTTTATACTTTAACGGATATTAAACTGAAATTGTATAGAATAACTAGATATTCTATGAAATAACTATACTCTGTTCAAAATGAGATGATGACTCGGCGGCCAAGTTGTGCGCATGGGCGTGGCTTTGTTCCATTGCAGCGCCCGACGCGTCGCCGTAGTGGGGACAGCGTCTGACCATATGTCTGACCGCCGCCCGACAAAAACTGGTCGCCGCCGAGTCATCATCTCATTTTGAATAGAGTATATAGTTAATGTACAATTTTCATGTATTATTTCATACTTTAACTAACATTCATAGGTAATTCATGAACTACCTAATTATTTTATAAAATAACGGAATTCAACACTTAAGCTGTAACATATACAAATACACAATAATATAATTAATTGATTGTCAAAATTAACCAGGTGTCCTGACTAGCGAAGACGGAATTAGCGAGACTCTATTGTTCATATATTTTATTTTGATGTGATTTTTGTTCCAATTAATCATTGGATTTTTAGTATTGAGCAAGTATTTGTTTAGGTTTAATTAAACACAATCATCATTAGCTTCATTCATTTGCCATTAATGTAAAAAAAATTTGACCACTTTCCCATCATAAAAAACAAGCTTTCGCAACTGTATTATAATGTAATAAATTAAATACTTTTTATAACATAGCTCAGTGGTGCCCAAAAAGCAGCTTATGGGCCACATGAGGTACACATAAGTATTCTATGTTGCCCTTTTCAAACTTTTAAAATAAAACTTAATATTAAAAAAAAAAAATTACGATAAAAATTGTAATAATAATAATAATAAAATTAAAAAATGTTTTATACAAATTTTTTATGTGACATTTGAGCATGCGTATTTCGTTTACTAATAATGAAAAATCTGGTTGGAATTTAGTTGAGATTATTTGTACTTTTATAATATTTGGTGGCCCGCTCGGAGGACGGAGTAAAAGCTTACTAAAGTAGCCCACTGAGCAAAAAAGGTACATTTCACTGATATAGACGGAAGTGAATTTCAAATTTTGAAAATGTTATAATATTATTAACTACATTGTTAAAAATAATAAAGAACTTTTATTTGCTACTTATTTTCATTAAATGCAAGACTTAACAATGAAATAGAAATATTTTTGCATTTCGTTACAATTTTACCTATGTGGCTATGTGTCTTTTACACGTGTGATTTAGGTTCTCTATACTAGTTATAAAACAACATACAACACAAAAATTAATTACTTACTGTTGAAAATATTTCAGGTTTTTTCCTAGTTAAAAGCATAGTAATACAATGCACATGATCCAAGGCAGCATGACGAAAAGAGCTTCTTGCTGATGCAACTTGACTTAGTAGTTCATCTGCTTCGTGTGGACGAGATTTTAGTACCTGGGAGTTTCTTAATAGGGCAGCGTCGAGTTCATATGTTGCCTTTTCAAATACATGCTTGGATTCTTTACTTGCTTTAATATCTCTAAATAAATAAATTAATAAATTAATTAAGAAATATACCTACTTTTAGTTTTCATTATATTAGTGCTGTCCTAAAAACTCACTCTTTAACAAATACTGTTAAGTTGTTCAAAACGGTTCGAGATGCCTGATCCAGGAATGTTGTTAAAAATTTGTTCATTTCTTGAAGAGCATGAATGATTTTATTTAAGTTTTTAGTTGATGATGTGTCATCACGGAAACAGAGTCCCATTTCCCACAAACTATTTGCAAATAATGATTGTTGACTTACATATGTCTTCCCAGAATCAATCATAAGACTGTATACTTTTACAACCTAAATAAATAGAAATAATTTATTTTAAATAATAAGGTGAATGTTAATACAAACTAATAACAATTCAAATCTCTAAAACAAAATTATTACCTTTTCTAACCTATGTTCTAGTAAATCAATATTGGACTCATGACGATCTAGTTGCGTCCTGAAATGAAGGTATATAAATAAGTTTTATAGTACATACAAGTAATTTAGTACACAGACATAATATAAGAAATTATTTTAATTAAAAATTGATGAATTTTTCAACATGCTTTTAAATTATAGTAAGAAATGGTTAATATTGTTACCCATTCAATTTTCAAATATAATATAACATTTTCAACACAGTGTTATATTATATTTTTAAAAATCAATAAAAATGTTAAGGTGTTAAAATTTAGTATTATATGAGTATTATTAAGAGGACGATATACCCGCATGCGTTGTCTCTGTCTTATATATGCACAACACAGCAAAATTGTTTTGCGCAGGACAACTATGCTCCCTCTGTATTTATAGTAGAACTACCTAAATTTCACATTAAATAAAGATGAACTTTATCTGTGTCGTACCATGTTTGTTTTTTTATAGCACTTACCAATAATTTTTAATAAATAAACTAAAAAAACAAAAAAAATTAATGTTCTCAAAATGATACCATTAATTGTATTTATGTTATCCAGGTAATAAAATCACCAGGACACAGGTAAAGTTCTTCCCTATGCGTTGTGGAACTTTGGTAATTCTACTATAAATACAGAGGGAGCATAGTTGTCCCGCGCAAAACAGTTTTTGCTATGTTATGCATTTGTAAGACGGAGACAATGCATGTGGATATTGGGTCCACTTAAAGTAGGTTTGATATCTGCCTTCAGTTGTATTTTTCAAAATTGTTAACACTGGTAAGGCAAACTTTTAAATCTTTGGAGGTACATTGCCTATTTTTATTGACACCCATCTCATGATCAGAATAAAAAAGGTAAAATACTAAAATTGTACATGAATTATTTATAATGAACTTCTTATAATTACTATTGAATTTCACCTTCCTGAATGGCTAATTACCTACCCATGCACACACTACTCCCTTACCTTTTTCAGCCCCGTATCTTAAAAATTATCATCACACTGACACTGATTAAAATTAGGAAAGTAGTGAGCTTTTTTCAAGTAGGTACGAAAATCTATGATTAAATTTCAATGAGTAGGTACCTAGTTGACGTTTTTATTTTTTACAAACAGATTTTTTAAACAAGAATTTTATAATTTTATATTCTATTAATAAACAATCACATTTATTAGTACAAATAATTCAAACAAAAAATAAAATGTTGATAAATTCATTAATTTATCAATCTAAAATGTATTTAAAAATATTAAAAATTAAATTATTTATTATCATTATTACCTAACCCTATTTATATAGTTGTACATTTTAAAATTTTAAAAAAGAAATAGAATATTTAATTTTTCAATAGAATCCTTAAATATGGGTCTACTATCTATAGTAGATACCATAATTTACGTACTTTTAATTGGTTTAGTAAAATACTAAAATGCTATCGGAAATTCATATTTGTAAATAATTTGTGTTTTATTTATTTTGTATACGATGAATAATGAGCTGGTATGCTTTATAAGATATTTATCAATAGACAATAATATAATTTTTTAATGATGATGTATTGATAGTATACTTAGAGATAACAATACATGTATTTCCAATATAATATGATGACAGAAAACCAAATATTTTAATGTATAAGGGGGAAATAGTCTCAGAAATAGTTGAGACGCATCTATTTTATACAATATGGTAGTCCTCCTAAGGCTATTTCCAAAAAAAAAGTAGCTACCAGTAGCTACATTTTGCTACCTAAATTTTTTTGAAAATTTTCTTAAATCAATTGTGCGATAGTAAAATATTATATTATATTATTAATGGTTATACAAGTAAAATACAAGTATTCTTGTCATATGCTGTCTACAGTATTAATATATTTTAAATTATTCATTATAAATATTAATAAAAATTAAACATTGTAGGTCCGAAAATTAAAATAATGTTGTTAGAAATAATAATCTTTATAATTAGAATAAAATTTAAAAACAATAATGCAATAATGTATACCTAGGTATCCCTATACATAAATCTAGTAAGACATCATTCAATAATACACAAACCTAGGCACCTAATTTTCTTATTCCCTAATTCTAAATAATGCAATAATTTCCAATAATAAATTACAATTTTTTTTTCATAATTGCTTTAAATATATTATAGCCTATACCTAGGTAGGTAGGTACTACCAATTTTTTAACTACAAAATGTTTTAAGAGTCCGTGATATCTGCATGAGTTGTCTCCGTCTTGCAAGTGCGTAACATAGTATACTGTACGCTCAGCAGAACACGTGTAGCTCTGTTAGATTAAAAATTTGGGAATGTTTGACAGCTTTATGAATATATGGCTATGGCCATAAAGCTAATATGCTAGCCTTTCATACAAGTGTAGTTCGGTAGACATTTATAATACAACCAATTATCTTGTAATACATAGGTAGATATTTTATTTATCAAATAAAAGTGGACTTTTATTGATCATTGTAGTCAACTTCGGTAGACGACAAGAGGACGGTAGTCGGCATACGACAAGAATACTAAAATATACTCACTTATCATAAATTATAATATTATATAATAGTTATCATGTGTTGATATGTTGTAGATATTATCTATAGCATCGTGTAAACAATGTGCTTTCTATAGGTACTCTATTCCACGAAAGAATATGCTGCGGACCAAAAAAAAAAACGGTTCTTCTGTAATCACTCAAAAGAAAGTACCTAATGTGCAACTGATAGTCACTACTCCTGATTCCTGATCACTGTATAAAGCCATTAGGGTGAGTTCATATTAAATTAGGTAATTTAACTATGGGTGAAATTGAGGCATAGAATAAAAAGTTACCAAATACCCAGGGCAAATATCTAAATATTTTACTGCATTGTCTACTCTGCAATATGGTCCAAATGTATAAATGTAACCAAGTATAATAGACAGGTACAGTGTGTTAATATAGTGTATAAACAATATAATATACCCAATATCATTAGTTTTTTTTATAATTATACTCGTGTTGTATTGAAAGTAAAATTTAAAAAAGTAGAAGTTTGTGGATTAGGTATTGAAAGAAAAAGGTCCTAGTTATAATAATTTGAATACAAGTTAAATTTGTTATAATTAAGACAAACGCAGTTACAGAAGATTTAAAACTATAGACAGAGTAGACAAGAGACTATAGACAAGAGTATCTACCAAAAAGGCCACTAGTATTATTATCGGTTGTCAACAACGAAAATTATTTCAATACCTACCTGGATACCTATTGGAATATAAATATCCCGTTTGGATATTTTCGAAATAATTTACAGTCCATCGAGCCCGACTGGGCTACACGTCTGCTACAGTTTTAAATCGGCAAACAATTATTTCAAACCACCGACTCCGCGGAAATCGTGACTAACCTGAACTTGGGCGAGTCCTGCAGGCAATTGCTCACCGAAATGGTTTGCATCTTGACGGTTTTCCTTTTGGCAGCGTCAAAACAGCATTATCGTCGTCGTCGGTGTGTGGGTGGGTCCGTAACCGCAGCAAAGCGACGCGGAGAACGGCGAAAACGCCAACGGATTATCGCAACAATTCGCGGCGACCAGACAACGGGGACAGCAGAACAATATTTAAGATAACGGGCGCGTCACCCAGCACACCGACACCGCAGCAAAGCGACCAGTGAGAGTGTGAGACTGAGACAGCGCCACAGTGGGTAACCAGCACGCTGCGGAGGTCTGAGTACTGAGTAGTGACTAGCGACTACGGAACCATCGTGCTACTATCGCCCGCTGACACCGCGCCCCGACCCACCGCCGCTCGATTCGCGCTGTTATCGTTTACGTCGTTTGTGTGTGTGTGTGTGTGTGTGTGTGTGTGTAGTGTGTACTGTATATACGGAACACACGGGTGTACCCGCACCACGACTACCCGACTAGTATTATTATTATTATTATACGCTACGGAATAATAATAATAATATTATTTACAATATTGTACGCAAGCGCGTTACGAAAGTAGGTTCTATAATATTATTATTATTATTATTATTGCTTTATAGTATGCCGTAAACGCAAAAAACCTATACAAGCTGAAACCAGCCCACCGACGGCGGCGTCGAGTGCGCGGTGCGCCGCCGCCGTCGTCACTCCTCGTCGAGCAGCGATAAGCCGTCCGACCGATCCGACGGGTGTTTTGCTCTGTCCGCGACGTTGTGGGTGGCGGCGGGTGGACACGGATACACCTGCGCGCACGCCGCACGGCGACGGCCTGCGTCATGCGTCTCGACCGCTGCCGTATGAGCCCGTAATCCAACGACATTATTATTATTTTCGGCGCCGCGCCGTCGCGGGAGCGCGGCAGGCCCGGACCGCGTTATGATGTCGGCGGGGGGGGGGGAGGGCTTCGCCGGGTTACGATAAACCTATACTGGTCCCCCCCTCCCCCGGCCGTCGACGACCACACTCCAGCATCCGAGGCTTCACCACAGCGCGAAACTGCGAAATACGCACCCGCTCGGCGGTTCCGAGTTGCGTATTATTTCTTTGTACCAATCACTTATTGTTAACCAACACTGGCGTCACTGAACTGTATTATTGGTGTGTTACGAGATATGAATAAAACGATATAAAATGTAACAATAGGTAATAATAGGAAAGTAGGAAATTGTGTAGATGACGAGAGCAGCGCTGTAATGCGCATAATATTATTAAGTAGGTATTATAACATCTTTACATAATATTACGAACCCAGGTCGAAAGTGCGTAATTTTAGGTGGGCAGGCGGAGATCATGGTGCCACAACCTAGCAACCCTACAGTTTTATGGGCTGATTAATTTGTCAGGGAATACCAAATCGTTGTACATTTTGAGGAATATTTGACGTACAAAACCGACACTAGGCATCTTAGATCGATTCGTGTAAATTTCCTTTAACAGCTTAATTGCTTAGGTACTGTTTATTTTTTACTGTTATAATAAAGATAACCATATTTATTTGTTTATGATTTATTTTAACTCAACAGCTTTAGCTCAACATTATATTACTATTTATTATTTTATGTAGGTATATAGGAACAATTGTAGCATTGGAGGAAATCGGGGGCACTTAGTTCACCAAAAATCCGTCAAGCCTTCTCCTCTTTCAGTTTTGTAGGATCAAAGCCCCCCGCTCACATTATTGATAAAAAAGTTAGGATTATATATCTATAGTTAACGTAATGTTTATATTATGCTTTTTCTACTTGGTGTTTCGTGAAATGATATTTTATAATTTATTCATCAATTAATGACATTATTCTATGACTATAGTCTATAATCATCTTAATATCGTTCATAACCAAATAGACAAATGGCATAATAATATACGAAGATCATTATAGTTATGTTTATGTAGTATTACATACTACTTATGTCTACATCATAGTGATGAAGCTATACAAATAATATCTTATATAGGTAGTGGCTTGCAGATGGTACCTATACGGCTATAATACTTACATATTTCTGGAGCCATGAATTCTTGTTTCTACTTTCGATTATATTAGGTATATTAATGTATGTTGCAGTCGCACCTCGATACCTACATTTTTTTTGCCCCTTTGAAATGTTTTTAGGTTGTGTTTGACTGTTCGAGGTATATACCTCGACAAATACATAGGTAAAATTTATTTATTTTTATTCCCCTTGGTATTCGAGTTATCGAGACTCGACTGTATCACAATATTTTAAACACAGACACACCGCACACAGTATTGAGTATAATATTATAAACTGTACAGAGAAGATTAAAATATAAGGGACTAAGGGACTAGCTGGGTGTGCCTGTGTACGCATACTATCTGCGTATAAATGTTTAATGTATATATTAATATACTGTTTATTAGGTATACATATAGGTATAATATTATATGTAATATAGTATATACCAATATCAATATTTGTGTGTAACGAAACTATACTGCCCACGCCCTATTACCATAATAGTCCTTCCGGCACATTTCGTATTAAAACAATATATCAACAAATGAACAAACGAAAGCTTTGTATTTTTTTTTAAATTAAAATACCAACAAATTATTCTTTTCAAATCATATAATTAAAACCAGGAATTTGTTTGTTGGTTCAAATTAAAAAGTATGCACGCATGCGCATATTATATACTTATTAAGAAACATTAGCTAGGTACACGCCTACACCCATCGGGAAATTACAATATGTCAACTATTCAAAATCCAAATAGTACAATAATGAATAACTTTAAGTAACATAACAAAGTAAGACGATAACTGTTTAGCGTAGGTACGAGGTACCTAAATCGATGACTGTTGTTATTTCAGTTTTAGATAGGTACTTGTTTATTTTATATAAATATATATCGCAAAGCAAACTGTTCATACAGAAAATCAATAAAATATAACCTTTGAAATTGAAAAAAATTGAATCTCGAGTCTCGGACCCATCACTAGTCACTACTAAATAATATAAAATAATAATATTTATTAGCTGTTTTTAGTTATACTACATAATATGCTCTATCCTGATGATTTGACTTATACCTTTTAAAGATAAAATGGTGGTGACCTATACAAAGTATCGTGAATTAAATGTATTTATTTATTTGTATTCTTATTCAGTTGTAATTTTGTCAAATAGTCTCACAAAATGCACTTTGTATTGATAATAAAATGATCATAATTATTATATTAATATTATACCAGAATAAATTACATGATAGTAAAATATTAACTCACAGTTAAACGAAATCTATGTGGAAATTATTGTACTACGTTTTAAAGTAGGTAATTTTGTTTTTATGATTCTAAATGATTTCAATTTTAAAGTCGTTTTTTATTGTGATTGCAATTTCAATGACAATCATAATAATATGTCGTGTAACACATGCAGTATACAGTATACACTGTACATCAGTAGGTAATAAAAAAACCCCCACTATTTGATTAAACTAGTGCCTATATTAAGTACCTGTATGAATATTACCTACGTATATAATATTATAAATAAAAATGTATTGATTGTATTTTGTAGGTACACATAACACATTAAACATACGGTTCTACGTATTTAACTAAATAATAAATCATAGGTATTTATATGTTACTTTATTTGTCAGAAATTAAAAACAATTATATATGTTGTAATTTTAAAACAATAAATAATAATAAGTTGTTGTATTCTGTAATCTGTATAATAATAGTCAATAGGTAAGTATATTGTACAATTCACAATAAAATATAATTAATTAGGTACATGTTAGTAATTTAAAGATTTTACTTAAAATCCTTAAAATTGTTTCAAGTGCTTCAACCATAATTAATTGCTTGTATTATAAAATCTATGAATCAGTTGGTAATCAGTAATCACTATATTCTGTAGGACGTAAGTAGTAAGCATAGACATAGGCGCAACTAGGGTTAAAATTCTGGTTGGGGGGCTAACAATACTATTTATTTAAAATAACCCATAGGGGGCTCATATCTAAATCAATAAAAGATATTTGAGGGGGGGCTAAATCTTAGTCAGGGGGGCCAATAAGCATTGAGCATAGACCTATAAACTAATGGACAGAGGACAGAGCCTTGCCTAGCCTTCTACTCCGCCTTGCCATCAGTGCTACGAGATAATATTATTCATATTATAAGGATATCTACATATAACTGAGAGAGAAAGGACATAAAGTAGTGAAGTCACTGTGAAGAAGGAACTCTATACATTTTACTTCTTTGTTTTTTTTCTCACTCTATATCGTACCCCTGACTTCTCTCTCTAAGCAGCAAGCGCTGTCCATTAGTTTATAGGTCTATGGTAGTAGGTATATGTTAGGTTAGTTTTTTCTTTAACACGATGTACATTATGTATTTATGTCCTTATAATATGCAAAATTTAAATGTATTATGAATAGATATGCCACCTCAAGTTTATTCCAATCCATAAATTTTGTTTCCAACAAGTATCCTAGTTAGAAACTATGAAGAGATGTTTATCATAATATGTGGTTTGAGGAAAATAATGATTATGAAGCAGACAAGCAGTCATCCGATTAGCGAGACTTCCGGACAGGTGCAGTCCGCGCTATAGAGCTGTTCAGTCATCTTTCCCGTCTTGGATAACGATTTGAAAGGAGAGTTTTTAATGTTTTTGTGCAGAACGATCGGTAAAAAATATACAACTGAAATATTATTATACGAATTACTAGTACCTACCTATGGCCTATAGGTATAATAAGTGTAATATATAGTTATAGTATAATAATAAATTAATAACATTACCATTAATTTAAATACTATAATATTGTCATTCGTCATTTATCTACTTTTATAAACTGACAACTATAGGTACCTATAACCCGCGTAGATCGTTTTAATAGATTCACCGTTTTCGTTGACCTTATATTAACTATACAATATGAATGTAAAGTACTAATAAATAGGCAGAGGCGGATCTAAGA